TTTTTTATTATTATTATTATAGATCTTGATACAAATAGAATTGTTTTGGCTTTTTCCAAAACAACGAAGGTGGCAACATTGGTTTCCAGAATACATGTAAATTTTAATTTAATATTTTTTTGCATAATTATTAATCAAAGATGGATGCTAACTTAATAAATACATTTTTGAAAAGTTACTATATTGCGCATAGAGACAAGGTCTATAGTAAAATTATAGAAATTAATAATGATAATGATTTGCCTGATGATGCAAAACCAATTATTAGCGACGAACTTAAAAAGCTAGCCGGAATAAATATAGAATCAGATAAGAAATTAAAGGCCTTTTCTTATACTTGACTTGGATGTGTCAACAAGATGGAATAGCCAGGGTTGCATAATTTACGTATGTTAATGATAATTTAAAGAATTAGTTAAAGAGGAAATAGTTAAAGAGAAAGAAGGGACTGGATAATAAAATGAACTTACAAATATACAAAATATAAAATCACAATATACTGTGATGTTGATAACATCTTTGTGTTTGTTGCCTGTTTAAGCTTTATTGATCTATCTAATATTGAATCTCCCATGAACTGCCTTCTCATCAGTATCCAACACAATTTTTTCAAGTTTTTGATTACAATGAATTTCATTATTAATGTATTGTTTTTGATTACAATGAATTTCATTATTAATGTATTGTTCTGCACGTTCATAAATATTAGCCCATTCACGTCGGTATTCTTTTAACATAGATTTCAAGAACCATATGGTAATACTAGTGGTTTATCAATATTTAAGATACGATCTTCACAACACTGAGATTTGTATAAATCGAGAGTTTCAATGGTGTTTCATACCCAAATAAATTGGCTAACGTATTTGAAGGTGGAAAACTTCCATTTGGTGCTTATAAAGCAATGATAACACAAAGTGTTGATAAATTAAAAGTATTTTCCTTAAGATTCGAAAGAAAATCAAGTGCTGGTAGTGGAAGAGGTTCAAGAAAGAAAATTTTTGCTTTATAATAAATTTGACCCTTAGTTGAAAGTTTCACCCAACTAAAATTCAAATAATATGTTTTTAATATCATTATTTTTTAATTTTAAAAATCTAACAATAATAAATACCTTCAGAAATTTCTGTGACAAAATCTCGATTAACCTCATAATAATTTCCGAGCGATTTATCTTCCGTACTAGAACAGTAGTCCATCACATCGAAAATGAATTTGTTGCCAATATTTTTAGTCAGAAGATAATGAACTTCATTCCAAACCAGATCCAAATCATTATCAATCATTTTAGTCTGCGTAACAATTTCTTTGCTTTCCTCATTAAAAAATTCGAATATAAGATTTTCCTGAATAATTAAATTATATCAACGTATTAATAACTTACTGGGCGGCTAATAAATTATAATACATAAATTAACGTATTCAATTTACCTTTAGTAAAGGAGGAATCGACGTTTTTAGCCCTTATTAATTCTAGTCTAATAACACTGATAAAAGCATAATCCGAAGGAAATTGAAGATTATTGTCTTTATTGCTGCATCTTTCTTCTGGAGAGACTTTATCTTTAGATTCTTCTACTTTCGATATTTCAACTTTCTTGCGATCAATTTTATCTCGTTTCTGCTCGTCAATTATTTTATCTGAAATTATATCAACTACAAACTTATCAGCACAATCTAATAATTCTTTTCTGCATCGGCATCTCTAATTTGTTTAGAAAGATAGTCACGAGCTTTATTATATTTATCTACCCAATCACTTTCATATTTGGGCGCTGCATTGTTCAAATATGAAAGGTTAACTGCTGTTGCAAGACTTGATGAAAACTCAGGTAATTTGAGTTTTGGATTAGTAACTTTCTTTTTAATTGTATCAATAATTTCTGCTATGGGAGCATGAAATTCCTCGCATATTGTATCATCAAGCTCAATGCTGTCATCGTCTTTTTGTTTAGATACAATTACAACAGCTATTGCAGCGCCTTTATTATGATATTTTTCAATCATTTTGGTAATGTTATCAACGACATATTTATCAGTGTTATCTATTAATTTTTTTTCAACATCAGGTTCTGTAATTTCTTTAGCGAGATATTCATGAGCTTTCTTAGATTTATCCT